TCTCTGAACCTGTTTGTTCAAGGAACACTACCTGCCTCAGATAATCGCTGTGAGCCTTCCCCCACTGTGCAAACTGTCAAGAGTGACATAAATGTGGGCCTTATTAGTATGTTCTCTCAAAGGGAAGTTACATAGCGTATAAGGTAGTTGAAAAGAGGAAGGAGATATTTGAAAAGACTCAACAAAACTGTCCTGTGGGCAGATTTCAGATCAGTCAGTTAATGTACCAAGTCTTCGTTTGGAGGTGGGGAGAGAAAAATATAGAACAGGATGGGACCCTGGTCTTCAGCGGACAAGAGCACACATTCCCAGTGGCCCCAGCAAGTCTCTTCATGTTTCGAGGCCCCAATTTCCTCATCTATAAAAGATGGAAAATAGTAATACCAGTCTCACTGGCTTGTTTTGGGGCTTGAATGAGAAAACGTGTAGACAGTGGTATGCCAAGCACTCATCCTCATTATCCTCCAATCTTCTTTTCATGTGACTGCATTGGGGTGAGAGAGAGTAAGTGACTTCTCCATGGAACTAACAGGTGCCAGAGCCAGGGCTCACACCCTGACCGCCTGCTTCCTAACTCGGGACCCTTTTCTTTCCACACATCATGTGCACCTTCTATATTTCAATCAGGCAGCCAAGCAACTCCTTAATTTGTTTTAGGTAATTACTTAATCTGTACATCAAGAACGCAGGGATTAGCTTCCTAAATCACAGATAAAGAAATGGAGGCTCAGAGAGTTTGAGTAATTTGCCCCAAGGTCACACAGCCTACCAATAGCAGGGCTGGGATTTGAACTCAGCAACATTTCATTCCAAAGCTTTGACACCTAACCTTCCTACAGTGGAAAGAGGCCTCAGACACCATTTAGCCCAATTCCTCCCAGAAGGGAGGTTGGAGATGAAACAGACAGATAATGATAGATGGTCCAGGGAGACTATGTGTCCAGATAACAGGCGGTGATCCCACAGACCCTTGGGTGGGGGGATGAATGATGAAGGGACAGAAGACTTGGAATGAAATACTTCAACCCCACAGGACAGGCTCATGGGGGCTGGGTTTCATTG